AAGGAATAAACTAGAATAGAAAATGTCAGTGAATTTCATGTATAAAGGGTAAATTTTGGGATGGAACCGGTTGTTTGATGGAACCTTTATACTTATTATAAATGCATATGTGCACAGGTAATTCCTACAGGACGTCAGTCCTGATCAAAAAGGTTTGAAAGCCACTGCTTCTGCTGATAGGGAACCACTAACGAGCTGGGACGTTTGCATTTATAAATATGCCGTGCTTTCAGTAAGAACAGAGTAAAGAGAAGGCCATTTCAAGCATGGCTTTAGGAATCCAGAAGAAAGACGGTAAAATATTGATACTTGGATAGAGAAAAGGATGTAGACTGGAGAGCTAAATGATCAATAGACTTGATGATTCATCACTTCTTTCCATTCTCACTACTACTATTCTTGCTTGGCCCTTACCATTTCTTTTATAATCAATTCCTGAGTAAGCCAGCTAGCTGTGTTCTTGACCATCTTAAATTCATCCCTCATTCTGCATTGAAAGACACATCTGACAATCTCACTCTCCTGCATATACTTCACTGACCACTTACCAACCTTTCTGTGGAGTTTCAGTTCTCACCTCTCCCCTTTCAGCTCATTTCCTTCACATCTCATGTAGACTATACATATATATATCCTATGTAATAAAGAGCTAATATGCTAATTAGACCAAAGAGCAGAATGACTGTCCTGACGACCTTCTGGACAACCATCTGGATGACCTTCTGGACAAAGCCAGGGCTGCAAGGGCCAGCCAAGGCTGTGAGGGCCCAATGCACGAATTTCGTGCATCGGGATATATATATATATATATATATATATATAGGGATCATGCTATGAAGTAGCCTCAGGCACCAGTGAGAGAGGAATTTGCTTCCAGGTGCCTTCTCCTGAATTACATTAATGTTATCACCAACCTGCTGACAGGTACCCTCTGAAAAGGAGTAGCTATGGAGGTCCCTGTTTATAATCAACTGAATTAGCCAAATAATTTCACGGGAAAACTTGCTTGACTATATCCGAATTGAAAGTTACTGTGGCATCATATAAATTAAGTCAGTTTTCTGCAATAAATATGCCTCTCTGGAAATTGCAGAAGTTGTGTCCAACGTCTAGTTGGATTTTAAGGAAAAGACAGCTAGGTTTCCACTCCCGGAAAACAAGAGGGATGATGAGACTAGCAGGCACTGCCTTGGTTTCACAAATACTGGTAAGTACCTGAACACTCTAGAATTGTTCTGCATCAGTTGATATTATTATCAGCGAACCCATTTTAAATTAAGGAGAATATCTGTTTACTATTACAAAGTGGGGAAAAAACCACACTTGGAAAATCTCCAGGAGCTGGCCCATCTCTTTAATCACATCTGGCTTTTTTGTAGTCGGAGGGAGAATTGCTTTGAGCTATTTTTTTTTCAAATAAATAAATTAATAAAATCAGAGCCAACTGGATTTAGCAGAGAAATTAGATTAATATTTTGCATGCATTGTTCAGTAATAGTTGTATGGTTGACAGAGGGCCTTGCTTTCTCACCCCAGTGTCTAGAGAGGTAGTTGCTTCTAGTCTGGCTCAGGAGACCAGGCTCCTGTAGAGCCAGGGTGAAGGAATTCTTGATTTGTTCCGCGTGAGGAGGATGTCTTGCCCCAGTCTATGTTTGTATACAATGCTCTCCACAACGCTTGTCTAGCTCTGAACAAAGCCATGGCCCAGGTGGCCAAGGAGCAGGGCTGTAACTTGTATCCGGGCATTCATTTTGCTCACACACACAGCTGCTACAGCTTTCTGAGAGCCACTGTGACTTGTCTCTGAGTTACTCCCTCCAGCAGAGCAATTCTCCGCCTGAAGAAACACAATAGGCCAGTTGTAGCTTGAATTCCCTCAGGGGCAGAGAGCGGCTCCCCGCAGCAGTTTTGGAGGGCACCCGGCCTGACTAAGGCCAGAGGAGAGCCTGGTGAGTTTACTGACAACCAGCCTCTCTCAAGATCAAGTAAACATCATAAACCCTTCATTCACTGGCCTATAAAAACCACTTGGGAGGCTACAAAGCCAGTGAAATGTGTGAAGGGGTATCAGGGAAGGTACACATTGAAGCCAGTATGAGGACTTAGCCAAAACAGACAAACCATCTCAAGACAAATCATGCAATTAATGCCAGGAACAGTGCTGTTACTGAATGTATGACTCTGTTTTTGCAACACCTTTCTCCCTGATGCTTCTGGAGAAATTGAATATTTCTACACTTCCCCTGCCACATTCTCTGTGGAAAGAAAGGGAATATCATCTTCCAATATTCAAAAGGCTCAGGATGGATTTATTCATTGAAGGTCATTCAAATCTTGGGCATTTCTAATAAAAGATTGCCTTGCCCACACCTTGCCCCCAGTGGAATGTGGTAGGGAAACAAAACACATACCCACTCTTTGAAGACTTGAGTTTAATGCATGTTGCAGTAAGTTTAAGTGAAATATAGATTATAATAATCAAAGCCCCAGAAATATGAACTTAATACCTGACACATACTTCACACGTAGATCCAGGCAAGCCATTTATTTCTTTGTTTGTTTTTCCCCTGAGAGATTTAAATAGAATATAGCTATTTGTTTCAAGTCTCCAATTTGCAGCTTGAATCTTTCCCCTGAAATCCAGACTTGATGATCCAGTTGCCTACTACATAGCTCACTTAGATGTCTTACAGCCTTATCAGGTCTTTACTGAAAAGCCACCTTCTCAGGAAGAACTTCCTTTCTCATCCAATTAAAATTGTACCCTCCCACCCCAAATGATACTGATCACTTGTCTCTACTTTGTTTTCTTCCTTACATATTATAGTTTATTTATTTTATTAAATAAATAATGTATTCCCTTAATAAATAAATGTATTCCCTTAACTCTAACTCCAGCTCCATGTGGGATGTTTTGTTAACTGGTGTATTGCAGATGCCTGGATTATGCCTGACACATAGTTGGTCTTCAAAAATGAATGGTGAATGAATAAATGAAAGTTAAAATGTTGAAAACATTAGATTGTCTTTTTGTTGTGCCTTTTTTTAAATTAGAAGATGTGAAATCATTTTATTTCTACTTCATAGAATTCCACTTCATACTTGTTCTACTTGATAGAATAACTTTATGACAGTGACCCATGAAGGTGTGGGGTAAATTTGACTAGGGTTTTGTTTGGCCAACATTGTTTGTTTGCTTGGGGGTTTCATTTGTTTTATAATTTAAATTTAAATGTCCTTAGCAAACTGGGACATTTGCCACAGTCCTCACCACTCCCTATTTTTATACCCTGGTCATAGGGCTTTATGAACTTTCTGTTCCTGCCAGCATCTGAAAGCATTCAGTTTGACAATTATACCCTACTAGAAAATAATTTAATGTTTGCTTTAACCAAGAGGTGTAGTTTTGACCACCTAATAATTTACAGTGTGACTTTGGGCAACTTACTAACATCTTTGAGTCTCTTCTGACTCTAAAATTGTATTTAAAAAATCAGTTGGTTGTTTGACAGCTTTGCTCAAGGCCATATGAACTATTTTGGGAATTCTTAGCTGGATACCAAATAAAATGACAATTCCTTATGAGATTCTTAATCCTTCTGATTTCGAATATCCAACAGATCATTTAAATGTATCAATCATTTGTATACTTTGAAGTGGGATATACTAGTAATGTATATAAATTTCTGTCTTTTGATAAAACCATTCTATAACCTAATGAAGGTTAGATTCAGTCACATGAACATTATTCCATTAAAATGAATAATTGTAAAATAATATTATATGAGATTTACTTAAAATATAGTGGTCCTGGCCAGCCGGCATGGCTCAGTGGTTGAGCATCAACCTATGAACCAGGATGTCAGGGTTCAACTCCTAGTCAGGGCGTATGCCCAGGTTTCAAGCTGGCATCCCAGTGTGGGGCATGCAGGAGGCAGCCAATCAATGATTCTCTCTTATCATTGAAGTTTCTATCTCTCCCTCTCCCTTCTTCTCTGAAATCAATAAATATATATATATATATATATATATATATATATATATATATATAGTGATTCATAAATATACGATTTACATTTCAATATACCTAGACTCTTTATCAGTCAGGTCATACAAATTTTTTGAAGATATATCTGTTTAAAATTCTATTCATAGTAACCCCAAAGTTAAATCTATTTGACAAAAGAGACATTGAAAATAAGCCAGAATAAAAGATTGTTTTTAAAATACAATGTTGGCAACTAATCAGGAACAATTACCAAACATCAAGCTCAAAACCCTCTAAATAAAAATAATAAAAACATTTTTCATCTCTAATAAAATTTAGCACTTTTTAGATTGATCAAAAACATAATTGATACTAAAAACAAAGAGAGATTCTACTGTAGTCTCAAACTTTCAGATTTTCATTTAGACTTTCATTAATGAATCAAATAAATACTTTGACTACACTTATTAACATGCTTATGGGGCCCTGGAGTGCAAGAAATACTGATGAAAACTCTCAAAAAGCAACTTCTTTTGTAATAAAATTTTTGCAATGATGAAATATAAGTTAACTCATTTAACAGCAATTATATCTTACGCTATGCAGTTAGTACTTTCTCTAGTTAGAATAACTACTATAACCCACCTTAGAGATTTATGAACTCCCATTTTATCAGAATAATTATAATAGTGAGAGTCAAAGTAAAATAGTCATCATCTACTGAATACTATGCACCAGACAAAACACTTGGGCGTTTGATAACATCTTCACAACAACAAGAAGGAAAATACTATTTCCCCAGTCCTACAGATGGGGAGACAGACTCAGCGAGATGAAACAACAAGCCAAAAAACATACACTCCTGGAAAGCCATTGGTCAGCCTGATAGAGAAGTTGTGAGCCTGAATTCTCCTTTCATGAATACCCATGCACCATATTTCCCACTGAAGCCCAATTAAACATCAAAGGAGGTCAAATGCATTTGTTTATTCTTCTCTTTTGCACATTGTAGGTACGAAGATGGATCAAAAATCCAATGGTCAGTGTGGACAAGCATCAGAGTCCCAGCCTGAAGTATACGGGCCCCTCAGTGGTGCACAGCCCCCATGGGGAGCCCGACTTAGAGCCTTCCTTGTGTCGGACGTGCCTAGGAGACCACGCTTTCCAAAGAGGGGTTCTCCCTCAGGAGAAGGAGTCATGTCCATGGGAAACTCAACCCAGGTGTGAAGTAAGTTTATTTTCGCTCTGGATTAATTCTCCTAAAAGAATTCTAGGCCTTTGTTTTGATTTTTTTTTTTTTTTTTTTTTTTTTTTGGTGGTGGTGGGGGGGTGTTTTTGTTGTTATTGTTATTGTTTGTATCTATGCTGTAATATGCCAAAAGAAAAAATCTTAATGTACATTCAGCTTCAGAGAATATAGAATTTGGCTTTTTTTTTTTTTTTAGCCAATTGAAATAATTTTTAAAAATATGTTGGATTTTTTAGAGCAGTTTTAGGTCCACGGCAAAATAAAGAGGATGGAGATTTCCTGTATATCTCTGCTTCCGCACATGCAACGGCTCCCCCACTAGAGTGGTGTATTTGTTACAATTGATGAACCATTAGCACTTATGTTTATACCATCACTCAAAGTCTTTAGTTTGCATTAGACTCACTATTAGTGTTGTATGTTTTCTGGTTTTGAACCAATTTATAATGGCATGTATCTATCATTAAAGTATCAGAGTATAGTTTCACTACCCTAAAAATCCTCTGTGCTCCACTTATTTATCCCTCTCTCCCCAAACCCCTGGAAATAACTGATTCTTTTTACTGTTTTTCATAGTTTTGCCTTTTCCAATTGCCATATAGTTGGAATCATATAATATCCGGCACTATTTTATGCCATTACAAGACTGATACAGCAATTTTTTGGTCCATTAAAAAGTCTCATTTTTGCTCACACAGAGACCAATGCCTGTATGGTGTGAGAAATATATCATAACAGTCATCTACAGGTGTGTAGCTTCCACGGAAATATTTAGCTCAAAATAACTTGACCCATAACAAAGCACTGTATCATATGCCCATGTTTTCATATATACTCATATTTTTATAAAATTTATTTTCTTCTGCTACTCCAAGAATTTTTTTTGTCTTAATATTGCTAACCCAAGAAGGCCAGATTACTGACTATAATACAAACCATTAGTACTTATGTTTGCTAATTTATATATTAGCTAAGTCTGTGACTTTATAACACTAAATTAGACTTCCACAAGTAGGTGAACACTTTGCTGATTGATGAACATTTTTCATGTGCATTTATTGTTCAGCTATTCTCTGGCTTCATGCCAGGTTGGCCATAAAAGGCAATAAATAGATTCTAAAGGCAAGGATTGCTAAACTTTTTCTGTAAAGGGCCAGATAGTATATATTTTAAACTTTGCAGGCCATACAGTATCTATCACTTACATTCAGCTTTGTTCTTGTAGGAAAAGCAGCCATAGGTAATAGACAAATGAATGGGCCTGGTTGTGTTCTAATAAAACTTTTATTTACAGAAACATGTGCCTGGCCTACCAGCAATAGTTTGCAGACTCTTAGAGTTGAAAAAAGTTTGCCAACTCTTTAGATTCTAAAGAACTATTCATGGCAGATGCAGAGAGAGAGAGCTCTTCAGATAATACATAGTAGAAATACCTAGGATTAAATGTGTACTTAAGGGCTTACTACATGCCCCCTTTGTTAGGGGCTGGGGATAAATGAATGAATAAATGGAATTCCATGCAAGAAGAAACAATAAACAAAAAGCTGGAAAGAATTTAAAACAACACTGTGATTCATTCTTTTACTTTATCTGGGATAACAGGTGAATCATTCTCCAATTTATAATGGATTACCTAGTTCTGGCTTTGCTGGACATTTTTTTTTTCTTAAAGTCACCACAAATCAAGAAGACAGTTCTATTCCAACAGTTTGAAAACGAATCTATATTTTGTGTGAGTGTAGGGATTAAACCATGAAATATTTCCTTGAGAAGGTACCTCTCTCCTTTTAGGAAGTAGAGAGGCCTGATAATAAGAATGCCAACCTGTTCCCTTGACAACTCCTGATGTGGATTATTTTAAGAAAGTCATTAATTCATCTTTCCCTCTCAGTGTTCCCTCAATAAGATGAGATGGGGTTTTTTAAATCTCTTGTAAATGTAAACATATGTGTAAATAGTGCTCGACTCAGGCAACATTCTGGGGCCAGCTCAACCTCAAGGTCAATATATGAACTTGGAAAAGTCACAAAACCTTTCAAATATCAGATGATAGGCCTAACCTAATTAACTTTTTAAATCTGAAATCCTACAGTTTGAATTTGATAACCTAAAGTAAAAATGAACTCTGTATTGGATGTGTCAAGATAAAACATAGAAAATGAAGTGAGAATAATTTAAATAATGGAGACAGCAAATAAAGCACTAGTCTTTTATGAGTAATTGTGGAATCTTTTTTCCTGACTTTATAAATAGTACATTCTAAATGCTACCTTTCATGGCCAACAATCTCTGCATTACATTGCAGTTAGCTTGGGCCAGGCCTTGCCAATGGTCTAGTTATTGGCCTTTAAACATGTGTCACCCATGGGAGAAAGTAGGATACACGTATTGCCAATACATTACCCAGAAGAATAGTAATATTGCAATGTTACTAGTTGTTACTAAAGAGGACTATTTGTGACTTAAGCAGACCTTTCTGTAAATGGAACTGAAAATGCATGCTAGTGGAATTCAAGTTGTAGCATTTCAGTCTGAAATCAATGTTTAGGCCAGTGATGGCAAACCTTTTGAGCTCAACATGTCAGCATTTTGAAAAACCCTAACTTAACTCTGGTGCCATGTCACATATAGAAATTTTTTGATATTTGCAACCATAGTAAAGCAAAGACTTATATTTTTGATACTTATTTTATATATTTAAATGCCATTTAACAAAGAAAAATCAACCAAAAAAATGAGTTCGCGTGTCACCTCTGACACACATGTCATAGGTTCGCCATTACTGGTTTAGGCCATAAAGAGATGGAAACCAAACTAGTTTTTCAATGGGTGCATGCCAACTAAACATATTCACAAACTGTTCTGCACCATATCTCTCACAGCACTTATAATATCCAGATCAACCAAGTTGGAAGGGGAGGAAAGGAATGTTTTAGAGTAGGAGTGGGGAAGGAAATCCGTTAGGCAACGCATAGGATTGGATCAAGGTGTCAGCCTAAACATACAATGTCATCTCTCCCTCCTGCCTTAAATGACAGAAAACACACACACACACACACACACACACACACACACACACACACCATATTTTAATTTATAATAGTGCTAGAAGAAAAAGTATGCTAGAGAGAAACCAAGATGGCAGCATAGGTAAACACCAGAAATTGCTGCCTCCCACAACAAATTCAAAAATACAACTAAAAGACAAAATGGACATCATCCAGAACCACAGGAAGGCTGGATGAGTGGAAATTCTACAACTAGAAGGAAAGAGAAAAGTACACTGAGACTCAGAGGACATGCGGAAGTGCAGAGGTACAGAGGCGCATGCGGCAAGGGCTGGCAACTAAAGACATGGCTGTCTTTTTGAATCAGGAGGGAGTCACAAGCCCCCGACTGCTCTGAACTCCAGTTCCGGGTGAGTCTCTGGGGACCCAGACTCATACGGGGAGAAACTGGACTGCCTGTCAGCGGGAAGAACTCAGAACTCGAGGGTGGCTTTCTCTCAAAGGTGCTTGCAGCAATTACCGGGACACTGAGACTCGGGGCCCCTTAGGGCAGGGCTGAGGATCAACCATAGCTGCTTGCTCCACCTTGTTGATTCCCTGAGACCCCGCTCCACCCAGGCGGCTGCAGAGGCTTTTGCATATGAATGCCCTGGCCCTTTGCAATCTGAAAATTACCTAACAAACTGCAGCTGGGCCAGACAGACCCAGAACTTCCAAGAGAAGGCCCAAGGCCCCACAGAAGCTTGCATTGCTTCACAGCCGGGCCTCATCTGGGCACCTCCAAACCCCAAACAAGGAAGAGGAATCTGCAGATCTCCTCATAGCTCCTGCTGGGTAGCCTCAGGCAGAGGCTAAATTAGCACCTCCTTAGATCCAAGAGCCAGTGTACCCAGTGGTCAGAGTGGGATCATCCAATTACAACTCCTCAGATCCATAAGGGACACACTCAGGGGGCAGACTCAGTGAGCATCAAAGCCCCACTGAAGCAAGTCTAGCCTCATAAGGGTGTCTTGGGCACAGAAGTTCTCCCACTGTAGACACAGCTGATTCTCACAGCTAATTGGGCTGGAGGTCAATTCCTCCCAGTGATACCTACAACAATCAAGGCTTAACTACAACAAGACTGTGCACAAAGCCCACAAAGGGGTGCACCAAGAGTGTCCAGCTATGATTTATGTAGAGATTTGTTTCTAATAAATAAAGAATACACATTACGTTAAGCATGCATGGAACAGTTACAAAAACTGACCAAGAATTAGATCACAAAGATCTAATTGGGGAGGCTGAGCCACTGGGCCCTATAGTACACCTAGCACACAAAGCCACTCTACCAACACAGGGAAGCATAAAATATGCAGAGACAAAGAAACAGGTCACAAATGACAAAAAAGGAGGAAAGCAAACTACTGGATATAGAGTTCAAAACCACACTTTTAAGGTTTTTCAAGAACTTTCTAGAAACCGCCCATAAATTTAGTAAGACCCTCAAAAAGACTGGTGAGACTGCCGATAAATGTAATGAGACCCTCAAGAAATCTAGTGAGACCCTCGAAGTTATGAAAAAGGACCAACTAGAAATTAAGCATACACTGACTGAAATAAAGGATATTATGCAAAGTTCCCACAGCAGACTAGAGGATCACAAGAATCAAATCAAAGATTTGAAATACGAAGAAGCAAAAAACACCCAACCAGAAAAGCACAATGAAAAAAGAATCCAAAAATACGAAGATAGTGTAAGGAGCCTCTGGGGCAGCTTCAAGCGTACCAACATCCGACTTATAGGGGTGCCAGAAAAAGAGAGAGAGCAAGATATTGAAAACCTATTTGAAGAAATCATGACAGAAAACTCCCCTTACCTGGTGAAAGAAATAGACTTACAAGTCCAGGAAGTGCAGAGAACCCCAAACAAAAGGAATCCAAAGAGGACCACACCAAGACACATCATAATTAAAATGCCAAGAGCAAAAG